AGCTAGACACTAATGCTTTATACCACCATGATGTTTAATGATTTATACAATTACAATTCTAGCACTGGTAGACCCTAGATATCAGATGCAAAAATCATGTTATTTTGATTAGCACCTTGTTTCACACACACACCCCTTCTCGTCAATTCAAATGCCATTTTTAACAACTAATATTGTATGAAAAAACTAGAGATGTTCCGAGTTGATGTAATATTTGACAGCTGGGTTTCCACACTTCCAAGTGGCTGAAAGCATCAGGTTTTGGTGGGTAACAGGTCCTAACATCACTTCAACAGAAAAGAGGGGAAAAGGCAGGACTGTAAGGAGATCAACAATTTTATGCTTTGATCTGCCAGAGAAATAAAATGCTTTGACAGAAAAGGCTACAAATATATCTGAATTTGTACACCGTGCCAAGAACTGATTCTGACTCAATGATCAGAAATAAAATGCGAGTACTTGAACACACATTATCAGAAATGAAACACCATAAAACTTAATGCCCAGTAAAAATGACGCTTGTTTCTACATCATCTTTAAGGGAAAGGAGCTGAGCCTCCTTGAAGTGGGAGTGAAGTGGTATGAAGCAGAAGACAGAAAAGAACGAAGCAAGAATTGAGGAGGAAGTTTGACTCCCTAAAAGCTAACCCTCTCCCCACAAAAAAACCCAGCTACTAAGAAGAGACTCTCATATCCTTCTGACATACCCCAGTACAATTACAGTGTGAGAGAGGAATGAGGGTCTAATGAAAATGTAACATACTATGAACAGTACTGCATATATAAACGCAGCATGTTTTCTTCAGTCTTCCAGTCGGAGAAACAGAGATAGATTACCTGTGACTTCAAAAATTCAGAAAAAGAAAGTAGTTGACAAAGTGGTAATTTAAGAAAAAAAAAAAATCATTATTATTATTTAAAATGAGATAATAACAAGAGGAAGCAGGCACAGGTAGAAATTCATTCCAAGAAGCTTAAAAATAAGGCTACCATGGCACGTGTAGGATTCACACTTCACTTTTCTTTGTTTTAATTATGGAGAATTGATACATATTCTTAAAGCATCAGAACCCATAGCTCTCAATATTAGCACAAAATATAATAATTATTATTATTAGCTGTGGAAAAGTATCTGAGCTTTCTCAACTGGCCTAGTTTAAGCATAGTACTCTTTTGCTTCAAATGCAATCAACAAATACTATGAAGTTGATGTATTATTGCAAAATGTATGTACTTTTACATTAAAGCACAAGAAATAAAGCATGACCATCATGTTTTGCAACTAATTTATTTTCTTCCTCTTTTTTTAATCTGTCTTACAAGTTTACCATGACATTTTAGTGACAACAGCACTAAAATAACTCATAAAACAAAAAGGAGTCTAATTAAAAATAGGCAGGCAGTGAACATCATGATACATGGGCATAAAATTATCCCTTTGGTGTCCTTTGTAAAAATACTGCCAAAACCCCAACATTTTCCATGGTAATACTGAGTCAGATTGTTTTATAAAAGATATAATTCAATATGCAGGTCCTTGCAATGCCAGCATTTGGAATCCGCACCAGCTCATTTAGTTAGTGCATATTATCGTAATGAGGCACAGCATATTTAAGGCAATAAAACATTTTCTGCTTTCTTGGAACAAAACTTGTACCACTGAACTGAACTTCCAACTGACACAAATTACAGATCTTGAAAACCTATTTGCCTTCCTCCCTTTCCCCCACAACTACAGAAATTATTCAGAGAGCTGTTTCAGTATTTCTTACTATCGAGTACATATGGTGGAAACGGCTCCTCTCAGGCTGGACAGGACTTTTTGCTCTTATGGAATCTTTGGCAAGGATAGCTAACACATCGCACAAGGTGCTGTGTATACTGTATACTCTGAACACAACAGCACCAGGTCTAGAGTAAGTGGAAGTAAGAAGTTAGTTACACGCGCAGAACTAGAGGAGTTTTGAGAAGGAGGTTAGCAACACCTACTGGTCATGGTTCATACTGAACACTTTTTAAAAATTTTTTAATTAACAATAAAAAAAAGCTTTTTCTTACTAAAGCACCTAGCTAAAATTACCTGTGAAGGAAGTTTTTCACCAGAGATAATGCTTCTAACCAGATCAACTGACAAAATGAAAAGATATTACCTCTCCCAATAAATCTTGTTCTGCTTATACCCTCAGACCATCATAGCTGCATTATTGCTAAAGTATATCAGAACTAGTAATTTCTGAATCATATCAGTAAATAAATATTCATATCATGAGCTGAGCTCTAGGCTTCAATATAAAATAGGTCATAATGAGTTTTCCTGACAGTTCCTTTAAATGACTGAAAGATTTACATTATACATCGTAACATGCATGAAGCCTTCCTTCATAACTAATTATCTTTATTGCCTATTGAAAGCAACTCAAATGTTACAAACTGCACAATCGTAGCACCAGCACAGGGCTTTTTTCTACTCTAAAAATATCTGCAAACTATTGAAACAGCTTCTGCAATTCTCCAGTATTTTTACAATGCATTCGTTTAATCTGCAAAAGTTTTTATTCCAAATTGTATTTGGAGTATAATACAACAAAAGATACACAACAGAGTTTCTTGATTCACCTCGCCCTTTCCAAAAAAAAAAAAAAAACATAGGGCACAAAATTACAAATAGCATTTTCAGAAAACACTTAGTTCAAAATTAAAATGTCCTCAAGTATAAGTATTTTAAATCAACTAAAACAAACCTGTATTCAGCAGCTGTATTTAATGCTTGCTTTAAATTTCCATTAAAAAAATATAGTATTCATTTTTGAAGTTGTGTCTATAGGTCCTCTGATACACTAGCCTTAGGCATTAGAAGTTTTCCTGGTTCTCATCCAACTTCGGAAATAATATCTTCTTGCTTCGGGTGTTAAAAGGATTCATACATTATTTATAAGGACTGCTAAAATCTAACTCCTGGATCTAACTTGCAAGAGAAAGAGTATAAAAAGTTACATACAAAAAAAGCACACAACTGTCCCCATTTCAATTTTTAGCCTCTGTCATGTATCGCCAGACTGAGGCTGTAATACTCTCAGCTCTCACTCCCCATGTTCAGATATTTGTCTACAGCCGCTTTGAGCCTTGCTGAATTTGATCTTTCTTGCATATTTTTAAAGTATGATTTTCCAAGCAGAAAAAACAAAAACAAAAAACAACCAAACACAAAATGCAAAAGTGCCGGGTAACTTGTTACACTTCAAAGACCATGAATTTCTCTGACAGAACCCTGTTTGTTAACCTCCTGAAAAATCTGGCTAAAATGTTTCAAGAAAGTAGCCAGAACAGGGTAGCTAAAATCCCTATTCAGTTCCCAACATCATCTTCCTCTACAGTTTTCTCTTTTTAATATTATCTACATATATGATATTTACATTCTGTTTGTCTCTTCCTGGTTTAAGACAGTTGTTAGATTTTAAAAACAACCCTTTTAACAAACCTCACAAGGGGGGAGATTTTAGTACCTTCTTATCAATCCTGTAAAATATTTCTGCAGTTTCACTTCCTGGGTTATACTAAGGCAAGAGACATTAAAATGATATTGATAGATAAAATAAATATGTATTCTATGCAATTAAAGAAAAGTCAGGTCTACAGAGCTTCAGACATACTCACCAGCATGAGTAAGTTCTCACATTGTTACTGGAAATCGTATATTTGTTCTGAACACACTAAAACCATTGTATCTGATAGCCCTTTACACTTCAGATACCCATTCCTGAGTATAATTTCACTTAGTCTAACTGGAGCACATAGTAACTGCATCTATCTAGCTGAACATAATGTATGAAAGACCCTACACTTACTACAGCTTATTAAATCACTAAAAAACTGTCCCATGTGACATTTGTACCAGCACAGCAGTGGATTTCTTTCACCCAATAAGGTGATGCTGTTTATGCTCATCTTTACACTGGGCAGAATTTTTACATATATTTCAATGTGGAGACTCTGAGACCTCAGTTCTTAAAAAAGAACAATACGCATAACAGAGCATGCTATCCATTCTGTCCCCACAGAAATTATAAATTAAATAAATATCTTGTGAGGATTGCACCTGTTCATTACATTCTTCTGGATAATAAAGTTCTTCTATCTGGGATTTTTGTACCCCGTCCACAAGCTTACATATGTTTATTCCCCCACAAAGTATAGCTGTGTGACGTTCACTATTCAGAGGGAAAGTTAGACTAAGTCACATTTCTTAAAGATTTATCTTATTAGTAACTGAGTCTCATGTAACTGAAAAATAGAAAAAACGATTTTGCCTTTTTTCACTGCCACTGTTAAAATTCTCAGGCTAACTGCAGCTCGTAGCATTTGTGTAGTGGGTTTCTCTGTTACAGTGATCCTCAAGCCCTGCCTCTGTGGGGCAAGGAAGGGAAGGAGAGCAGTTGGGACAGTGATGATAAAACCCTAGCCAACATTACTAAAGCAGGTACTGTGCCTCTAAATGACCCTTACTTCCTTATTTTAAATCTGAATTAATTTGAACTGGAAGAGGTTTGTTTGGGGTTTTTTTTTTGTTAAATTTGTTCAAAGGATGAAGAAACAGCTGTCAGGAGCTGGGAATGCTGTGCCAGTCTCAACAGCCTTCCTTCTTCTACCTTTACCAAATTATATAAGCTCTTGCAGTATGTGTAGGAGGGAGGCTAACACACAAAATGTACTGTAAAGCATTTATTTCTATTGTCAGCCCAAAACTTAAAATTTAAATGCATTATAGAAACGTTTATTACCACAGTGTATTTTGACACCAGTTAACCGTGGAGGAAAGTAAAAGAGTGGAAAATTAACTTGCCACAGCACTGCCACCTGTTTTAAAACCGTCCCTGTGTAACACCCAGTGGGTCCTTCCTGAGCGACTGCTGCAGGGCAGCACAGCTCGAACTGCTTGAGGATGCAAACAAACATGCAAACACACAGGGACCAAAACTTAAAGCAAAGGATTAATTTCGCACCTTCTTGAGAGGAGACAATAGGTGGCATATAATCAGGGATGTACTCCTTCCTTTCTTCCGCATCTTTACTTCCTGGCTGGGGAAATTGCAGGACATTGTTCTTGCTGACGGGAAACGAAGGGATTTGATGTGCAAAAGTGACAGGTTCAATATTGTGTATATAGTCTTCTAGCTCATGCAGGTTAACCCCCATAAGTTTGAAGGCATCACCTACATCATCCAATATTGGATCTGTGCGGCCATCTGTAAAAAAAAAAAAAAAAAAAAAAAAAAAACAAACAAAAAACAAAAAAAAAAACAACACAAAAGAACAATATTTTTGCAAAAATCCAGTTTAAAAAAAATTGACCTGCAGAACTACGCTTAGAGATTACAATCTGCCACAGTTTACCACCAGTGATAGAGATTACTGCCCCCTAGTTCTGCCAGGTTTACTGTTCATGGGGCTATACAACATTTCAGGCTAAGACCACTCTCATTTAAGTGTTTTGTTTCGATCTGTATCGCTTTGTTTCAATACATACCATTAAAGAACTGCACCTCAAGAAGCAAACCAAGCAAAACCAAGGGAGCAGCAACAGGTAGCTTTACGTGGCAACAGTCAATTAACACCATGCACCACTTAGAACAGTTTTCAATTTCATAATGTAAATTCAGATGAACGAAACAAGCCCTTAATCTGCAGAACATGCCCCTTTACCAGTATGTAACAGACCAAACATTCTTTTTCAACCTAGAAAAGGAACAGTTTCATTTTGTTGAACTGACTGTAGTTTACAGGTAGCAAAAAAAGGTTTATCTCTTGATAACAAAATACTTCACATAGTATCTTTCTACCAGATGAAATCTATAGGCTTCTTAAACTATGAGTCACTTTACCTACCTGTTAGATATACCTCCCAGATGAAACACAGGAATATTAAGTAATAGTCTAATGAGGAGAGAATATTTTATACTAAACTTCAGGAGCTGATTTCCTGGGGTGCAATTTAAGTTTGACCCTACAGCAAAAATCTTCTTTTCTTTATGAAAAGCATAGTGAAACTCTACTGGCCAAGCAGTCATGATCTTTATTTAATATGACCTCCAATAAAACAGTCCAAGATAGGATGGAGTTTGTTCTATACACATAATTTGGCTCAAAGATTTAAACTATACAGAGCAGAAGTCCTTCAAGTGCCTCAGTTTCCCCAACTTGGTAGAGGGAAATCCCTCAGAAGGCCTCTGGAGGGAGAACTGGACACCTGGCTTTGGTTGCCAAGGCACCACTTTGAATCTCATCCTAACTTTTCATAATAAGAATAACACAAAAAAAGATGCCTTATACCCCAAACATTTTTTTTAATTCAATAAAATTATACTGAATTATTAAAATTTTGTATAGTTGACTTATGAAGATATTACATCCCTACATGATGATAAGCTGTGATTTACTTTAAAAAGTAATTACGAAAAACCAGCCCATGCTTATTGAAGGAACACAATCGCTATTGTGAAGCCCCAGCTTCAGAGAACGGGGGGGGATGCTCTTTTGTTTGTCCTTTAACCTAATCTCTTCTTGGTTTATCTTGAAGCCGAAGCAGTCGAGCAGGCTGGTTCTCACATCACTGGATGAATTCAAACCCTCAGCCAACTTACGCCTGCAGGTACGTTTAGAAAATAAGAATTTTGTTCTAGAATTTCTCTTCTTAGTCTTGCGGTGAAGATAAGGGTAATACTCAGATTATGGTTTTGATTCTCAGCTCTGCAACACTGGCCTCTTGTGTGACTCTGGGCAAGTTGCTTGTGTTTTAATTCTCTCCGCAGCTAAAAGGGAGATCAGACCAAGTTATCGCCTCTTTTGTCTGTCGGTATTTAGAACGTGAACTCCGTACAGCACGAATCATCTTGGATTTTGTGTTTGTATAATATCTAGTACAAGTGCAATATGACTTTCCCCTGCAGACTCTAGGGACAGAGAAATGTTGGGACTTATATAAACATAATTAAAGGAGGATATCACCCCTCTGAAGTAGTTATGAGATCCCAATAGTTATTAGGCAGGTGCTAGTGTGGTTTATCCTTAAGAAATTATATTTAGATAATTGACACAGCTAAGGAATTTTACGCTGTCACTTTTAGTTACTCTTCAGACTATGAAGATACCTTTGAATTTACTGAACCATTTTCTAAGGCGTCAAGACTTACCAGGTATAAGTTGGACAGCCAGTTAAAAAGAAAAACTTGGGGAAAACTTTTCAACAAGCCCAGAAGTAGAGCATATTTATTCCCTGGACACTCCTGAAATGACCAGCTGTGCTGTTTGTAGGACGGGGGGAATTTGTGGGGAGCCTTGCAGCACTCATTCCCGGGTGGGCACTGCTGAGACCTGGAATGTGTACTGCCAGGCACGGACACACACCTGCCTGTGCCCAGTTCCCCTTCGGGAACAAAAAAAAAAAAAAAAAAAACAAAAAAACAAAAAAACCCCACAAAACAAAACAAAAAACCCAAGTGTACAGGCATGGAAAATGCTGCAAGAGGTTCTCCAGCTGGAGAACTCGGGCACAGGACTGCAAGATGCACCACACTGACCCCGTTACTGGGGCTCTGCAGAGGTGTTTCCAGTACCTTGCTCAGCGTATGCCTCTCGACACCAGCACCGTCATGTACTTAGGGTGAAAGTTTAATCTAGTTTACCACTGCAATAGGAAAAAGTCTTTTCCTAGATCTACACACGATGTTTTTGACCTCCAAAAAAGTGTACCAACAAGTGATAAATGCTAAAAAGGACTTCTTCCTACAAGTGCTTACTAAGAACATGTGGCAGAGAAACAATTATTAAGTGTAACTGAAGCACAGAAATATTTAAGGAACCATATAAAAAAACAATTACATGTGTTAGAAAGCATGTTAAAAAGTGACCAAAAAAACCCCAAAGATTTAATTTTCCCATGTTTTTAATGTTTGCCTCCATACAGACAATGTTAAGTCATAACATTGATTAAAAGCTAAAAAATGTTTAAACCTGCAGCTGACAAGAGGGATAAAAGGACTGATCAGCTAACCTCTTTTCAAAACAGAGTGGCCTCAGTGTCAAAAGTGTGCAAAAAAAGTTTCAGCTCTGAATTCATATCAAAATAGTTATCAATACACAGTATACACAGCACAAAAATGCATTAAATGTAATTTCAGGTGATTCATCAAATAAAGGCTTCATACTTTTATTTCAACAGTTTAGCATTCCTCTTCTCTCTCTGGTTTAATAAAAATTCACTAAAATAGCAGAAGCCAGACACATGAGAGAGGATGCTGACAAACATGTAACGCTCTCTCCTGATCTTTCATTTAGTCTCAGGCTTTTTTCTGTAAGTAAACGATGCCAATAAAAAAAAAAAAAAAAAAGTTTCATTTGTGCATACTGAGCTTGTCTCAATATTCTTCAGATATTTGTGCTATCCTCAGTTTAAAATTTCAGATGTTCAAGCCTCCCGGTGAAATAATTAATCCAATGTCACACAGCAAGTCAGTGCCAGATCACAAATAGCTTTGGAGCTTTTGGTTTCCAGCCTCTTGCTGTTCCCTATACCATGACACTTTAAATATTATCTGTTGTCCAAGATCAGGAAGAGATAGAATGAGGTGGGAATAGTTCACCCAGCAAGTTACAACTCCCCTCCTTACACCGTGAATAGTGAACTAAGAAAATATCTTTCTCACAAGCTTTTAAGCTGTACGATCTCCCTGAATAGGAGCTGTGCTCTGAAACCGATATAGCTACGGCAAACAGCAGAGCTAAATTAAGACCACTCAGTCTCAAAACAGCTCACCAGAAACCTGCAGGAACGGCCGTGCAGTTACGTTACTCAGCTTCCCTGTGTGTGAGGACGAACACTGTGTGAGGAGGAATCCACACACAGAAATGGATCCCAAAAAAACACACAGCACTGAAATGATGGGAAAATAGAATCCACGCAGAGCTGAGTATTTGGGTGGAAAGTTATCCAGCCCTCAAGCCTGATGCTCAGCATCACCTGCAGATAAATCTAGCTGTCCACAAGGGAAAACAAATCAAAAAGAACAAGGGCAGAGCACTAACTCCTCCTCGAGCAATAAAAGCTCACTTCTGGTTTGTAGGGAAAAGGAGTTTTTAGAACCTACTAAAGCCTAGTTATTTTTGTAATTGTCACAAGAATTCCTCCAGCAAAAAAGCTGACCAATGCTCATGTCACCTGAAGAAACTGGGAGGGTGTTGGTGGGGGTTAGGTAAAAAACTATCTTTCCTAAAATTCAGTCTCAGGAACAGCTGCTTTACTTTTGTCAAACTCACTCCCATCACCTCCTCCTTCCTGATGCAAAGTTCGTATGAATCAGTGAAAACTTAACAACTGAGTAAGTACAGAACAGAACAGAAAGGCTTTTAGATTCATATCTGTTTTTTTAAAAGCAGCAACTACAGCTCTGTAATAATTATATTGAGAAAAAATAATGAGTCACTACCCATGCAACATGTACGGTCTACTATAAATAGCTCAGATTCACCTTCATGTCTAATATTAAAGAGGTTTTTTTAAATTTTTATTTTAACCAGCAATTAGGTATAGCTCCTCGGTATTTTTATTACAGGCTCTATCACGGATTTCTTGTGCTCCAGCACATCACACAACCCTGCCACACATTCAATAGCCGTGTATCTGCTCTGAATAGCTACTCCAGGATAACTCTTTCAAGCAGACAACACATCACTTCCATCCAGCATCCACAAGAACAGTCAAAAGCATACACAGTAGATTATTTAATAAGTATATATGCATTACTTGAGTGCACTTAAGTGGGGAAAAGGGGTCCTATTAATGTAGTTACCAGGCACACAAAAGCATTTTCTTGCTATTGCTGCTCAGAGTCTGCTCCTTTTCCTGGTAACCTCATAAATGTCAAGCAAAAACTCAAACTGTCCTTCTTTATTGGTAGCCAGCAAGAAGTTAATTATCTTAAAAACATCAACATTTAAGGCCATCAGGAAGTAGAGGTACACTTCTTATAACAAATGGTATGGGCCCTGGATAGATACCTGTTAACAACAGTCATTCAGCATCAATATAGGGAATCAGCTCGTTTAAATTCATCATCCAAATCTAACACTTTGATAGAGATTATTATTGTATACTGATAAGACTGAAGTAATTTATAAAAAAGAACAAAAATGACAGAACATAGGAGGTAAATTTGACATTTAATTAGAAAGAAATAAAAATCTGGTTCAT